GTAGTTGTGAAAAATGCAGTGGGTTTTTGCAACCATATAGATGCCAGAACCTGATATAAACCCTACCCAAAATATGTCCTGAATTTATCCAGAGAGTCAAGTTCAAATTGGTCTTAGCCCAGATCCTTTCAGCAATGCAGCCTTGATCCTACCACTATTTTTAGGGTAGATCATTTTCCTGATAATGACTCTATCTTTCTCATTCACTCCAAGGTTGTCTCTTCTCTATGGATTCCCAAAGGAGGATGTTTAGAAATAAGAGTAACTGGGACAGATACAGGAACAAATGGCTGAGCATTACTCAGAGAAGCATGATGAGATTTCTTTACCTTTTTTTTCTCTTCTAACTGAAATTTAGTAAAAGAATTCTGAGTGGAAATTGGGGAGGAGTTTACTTCCTTCTCTTCTTCTTTCCCTTTATAACGATCATATTGGTGATGACAGAGGACATGATGATACCCATTGAATTGCTAGCAAACACTTGTGTGGTAAATAATAATATAATAGTTCTCCTCCACCATCACCAACAAATTCTGAAAGCTCTTACTGAACCTGACTTTGCTGCCTTCTCTGTCCATGGGAGTGCATTTCAAATAACACAGATATTGCTTCAGAGTATTGTGGGGCTTCAACAGAGAGGACTAAAATTAGTCCACATATGCAACATTTTTAGTGCAAAATTCTTGAGAATTCTTAACTTAGTTTACTGAGTCCAACCTCCTGCTCTATAGAAGAATACACCATTTGGTAGTTATGGAACATCTGAATACTCTTTTTTTTCTGCCCAGAGTGCATACTTATAGCTCCTTTGTTATTAATTCAGATCCTATGGATTATTACTGTAACATGCATGCATATCTCCTATTAGACTTCTGATAAAAGATTTCAAACTTGGTGTGTTCTGTGACTTCATAGCACCATCTAGTGTTCACTAGATCATTAGCAGACTTTTCTATTGAAATTGGTTTTTTTCTTTTCACTTTCTGTCCTGGAAATTAGTGCAACTTGTTTCATTAAAAGTAGGTGTAAATTTCTGGCAGAATTTGAAATATTTATGTGAAGTATTGAAATAAATCATTCCAAGCTACATCAAACTATTGTTTCAAAGTAATGGCTTAATTAAAGTGCACAATCAATGCCATTAAGGCTATGCGATCATTTAAATAACTTTTATTGTGAGAGAAGCTGGAAGATATTACTAAATGGAGTGTAATCATGTTAACTGTGTTAATTATATTTGATTCATCTAAGTCAATTTAAATGATACCTAGTCAAATTAAGTTATTGTCTTAGCCATGTTCACTTCTTCACCATGTATCTAGTTAATTTTTGGAAAACAATGGCCAGGTTAGCATTCAGCCCATCCCAGATCTTGCACATAGAGCTTATCTATGTCTGACCTTTTGAATCAGAAGAAGAAGGTTTAGCCGTGACTGTAATCAGGAGGCTGAACACTGAGCTGGAGAAGAACTATCATTAAGCTAGGAGCAAGTTTATTGAAGCTGTTGCACTAGAAGTTTTTAGCCAACTGAATTTAAATATTGTCTAGATGTCCTTTTATTACTAGAAAGTACTGAGGCATTTGATCCTGATATTTGTTGTAATGTTCCTCTTCTTGAGTAGAATTCCAATATGAGTGCCTAATACAGCTTGAGCGGACACTCAGTTTTGTTGGACTGACCTTAAATTGTTGAAATGCAGTTGTTGAGGATTTGGTGGTGACTGAGGTCTTCAGAGTCAAGAGTTGAATGTCTTATGACAGCAGCTCCCAACCTTTTGGGCACCATGGACCAGTTCTGTGGAGAGAGAGTTTCTGTGGAAAAACTACAAAAAATAAACAGAAAAAAATGAGGGTTAAACAGGAAAAACAAAGGGAAAGGGGGAAGGACAAGGAAAACATCTCTAAATAAAGCATAATCTCTCTTCTCTCTGTAGCTCATCTTTCAGATAATGAAAACAAGATCCAAATGCTATGTCAACTAATATTTATAAGGGCAGCCAGAAATAACTATTTCCTTCTTTTAATCCTGGTCGAATAAACCAATCTTACAAATCTTCCCTGATTTTTTAAAAATATTTTTTAATCTCTTCAAAAAAAAGTTGAGGTAGTTCACTGTTCTTTTGTGCTGCAGAGTAAAAATCCACCAGAACTTTTAACAAATTTATTTTGTATTCATAAATGTATCCTTTTAATTGTAACTTCTAAAAAGGATTTTTCCGATCTTAGTAGATTTTGTCTGTCCAGAAGAAAAAAAAAAGTTTCCTATTTTAATATCTGTTCATCTCCATTGGGGAAAGAGTCATCCATCAGATCTATTTGTATTACATTTAAATCCCCCTTCAAATTAATTTCATGGATATCCATTGCAACTCATTCTTGTTTACAACTTCATTAGAATATGGTCTGTTAATTTTATCAAGCATTTGATCCATTCAAAAATTTGCACTAAGGATTTCTGCTCCATTTTTTTCTCCTCTAGCTCTAGTATCCAGCAGTCAAGATCTCCTCGCCATAAAACAAGCAAATCTCCATTTTCCCATTAGAATATATCTTCTAAATAATTCAAAACTATAATCCCAAATCCCTTGGCCTCTTAATCTGTTATTAACTTTCCAAAATCCATCTTCTAAACACCTTTTTGCTGCATGGTCCAAAAACAATCATATTTTTAAAACTTTTAAAGTCAAATTTAGATCATCTTTTAAACAGAAAGAAACTCACCCGATGAATACAGTAAAACCTTGCCAAACTGAAGGATCTTAATTTCTCTAATATGAAAAAATAAGAAATAAATAAAAAAGTGATTAAGATAAAAGGTTCAGTCAAGCTTAATGTCTGCAAAGGCTCCTTTGCAAGTGTGTGTTTGATATTGTCCCAACTCTCACTCTTTCCATATTAAGTTGATCATAAAAATAGCAGTTTCTATTGTCTACTCATGAGGAGCAGCTATTCGAAGTCGTGTAAACAATCTCAGTGATCTCTCCTTTGGTCAGGGGAGATTACACTGACTTGGATCCAGCATAATTCCCTGCACAAAAGCTATCTTGCTAGCCAGTAAAAGCCAGCCAGGCTTCAACTTGCTATGGTGCTTTCAGGAAGTTGAGGCCTTACAGATTCTGATAGCAAATTTCCCTCTGAGACTCAGGCTGGCAGTTGACTTTTTATTATTATTATTTTTACTGGTAATCCTGCCACTTTCCATTTTCTTTGCCTTCCATCACTGTCATTTACATTGGGTGGACAGCTCCCAGAGCATCTCATCTTTCTCTTCAGCACACTTCTCCAGACTATGGCCTGTTTCACTTTAGATTCCTCTCTAGTTAATAAGCCATCAACTGGTTCAGTTGTCTTTTTTCTCCAACTCTTCATCTTCTTTAACACCTTCCACTCATGAGCAAATTTTATATAATCTAAATTTGGTTCATTTAGAATATTTGTGCATTTGGTTCTTTATACATTTGGCTTGCACAGAAGGCTACTGTCAGGCCCAAAGAATGAGATCCTGGTTCCAAACTGAGCTCCTTAATGTTTCCACATTTATTTTGGTCAGATTAAGCACTTTACTATCTGCATCTACCATATTCTCTGAGAACTGTTAGGGAGGGGCTGTCTCCCCCCTCTTTCTCTCACACAAAAAAATCTGGATAGAGTTCCTGGAAAGTGCCCCCACCCTCCTGGAATCCAGCTGACTACATTCCATCACATCTCCCCAGTTATTTTTTTCTGGTTTTCCTCCAGAGTTCACTTTAAAAGCAGTTCTGTGTATTGGTCATCCTTTTAAAGTACATCTCTAAGAATAAAGCATATCAAAAGCTTTTCTGTGCATATTGGCTGCAGTTGGCTGCAGCAGATATTATTTTATGTTCACAACTTCTCTCTTTCTCACCAGAATAATTGGTGTGGAATTCATCCCCTTTGATCTCCAACTTACATATTTTGCTTTCTTGCAAATTGGGAAGGATTTAATTGCATATGTAAATGGGAACTGGAGTGGAAACACACCCAGTAAAGATGAGGTCTATTTGAGAAGTGTTGTGTTTCCACCATCTTCGATTTAAGAATTCATGCCTCTCTGTGTAGTTCGTAGTGTGTAGCTTTCTATCACATTAAACAGATATGATGTTAAAATCCAGTTCCACTGAGAATGAGAAAATGAGTACTATCCAGAGTACACTGTTTGTAAAACTCTGTTTGCTTTGAATTTGTTTTTAAAGATAAGTAAAGAGAAATCAGAAATTAGTCAGCAAAGAATATTTTTTTAGGATGAGATGACATCGCAACCCTGGCCATTTAATCTTGAATTGATATACATGTTCATAGACTGTTTATGGACTGCTTTCCAAAATGTATATGGAAAAAACTGATCAGATATAATGCTGGGTTTTTTAAGTGTTGCCTCTACATGTTCAATAATATGTAGAGTGTCTTTTTTCTTTAGTTTTCTTTTTTCTGATTTTCATATATTGTACATATGAAATTTGTATATAGAAATGTACAACACACACACACGGATACACACTTTTAATGATATTTTATTTTTTTAAAAAGAAATCAGTTCAAGAAGGAATTTGTGTGATGTGCAAGCTTTTGGAAGGTTAGTAACACGAAGAAAGGGTAAAATAATTATGCATGTTTTACTCTGTGCTGAGAAGGAAAATAAGTTGATACTTTTAAAAGTAACTCCAATAATGCCAGAAAAATATGAACTAACGATATCTAATAGAAGATTACAAGCATCATTAATCAAGTACAGCTCCCAAATTGGGGGGAGAAGGGAAGAAGGTCACAATAGAAAATTTGTTATTATAAAATAACACAACAACTAGAAGCTGGAAATATAGGGAGAAACCTAATTTGAAAACCACATCAGTCTCCCGAGAATGCTTACACACCCTTACAGTATATGCGCAGCTTCTCTCAGATTTGTAGGACTCTGTAATAAAAGTTGGTTGCTTATTCCACTTTGATTTCTGATTTTATCCAGTGGTATATGTTGCAGGTAACTCCCCGTCAGACGAATCTGAAGAGCGTGAGCGAGATCCCAGGGTCCTCACTTTTCCAGAATACATTGCCAGTTTGTCAGAATCCGGGACCAAACGCATGGCAGCTGGGGTGCGCATGGAGTGCCAAAGCAGGGGCCGATGCCCCTCCTCCTGTCCTTTATGTCATGTGACCTCTAGCCCAGATGCCGTGGCTGAACCCATCCTCTTGGAAGTCACAAAAGCAGCGCCCATCTATGAGTTGGTCATCAACAATCAGACACAGAAGGTGAGTGCTTTCATAGGGATGAAAAGATCCAGTGGGGTCTCAGGTAAAAAGAAATAAGTATTCCAAAATAAATATTCCATTACATTTTCTGAGAATCTCAAAATTTGAAATTAATTAGATGGTTTGCAGGGGAAAAAAGAAAAGTTAAAAGAAAAATCTTTTCAAAAGCATAATGACTCAAAACAGCATAAAATGTGAGTTATTTAAGATTCAGCACAGGGATATTTATGAATGCTCCTGAATCTCCTTGTATTTTGGAGAACCCATATCCTAATCCCTGTATGCAGAACTGCAATAATTTCTTAATTAATTAATCTTCCTTTTTTTTAATTCTGAGGTTTGTTTGGTCAACTGAAAATGTGCAGGTTTTCTAACCATGGTACAGACAAAATGGAAATTTAGGAACATCTGCTTGCACAGATTCTCTGCCTGGGTAGAAAATAATACAGTTGGAAATACCCATATGCATACGAATGTACATATTGCTTTGAGATAGGCTCAGAATCTTCAAAACTGTATATAGCAGCTCACAGGACTATCCAAAGTACTTGATGTAATGATGTCTGCTTTGAAGTTCCCAAGAGTTGGAAAGATATCTCCCTATCCACAATAAGAAGACAAGAAGTGAAACCATGTCCATGATACCAATCGTCTCTGCCATGTCTGCTAAGCCGCCAAATCTTTCTTTCCTGTCCTTCTCATGTACTCCACTGCTGCCAGTGTCTAGTAAAGAACATATGTACAGTAGTATGGCCATATCTCTCAGATTCATTGATATTCACCATAGCAGGACCATACTGGTGTGCTACATAAAATCCGTGTGGTGAATAAAGAATAAAGACATTTCTTACACATCTCTTAAATCAACCATGAACTAATTATGTAATAATAGATTATTATGGAGACTATAAGCAAATATACTAATCTCCCATAAAATAACTGTATGTGTATTTGCTGAGATATGAAGGTTGAGTCAGATCCTCTTTTCTTTATGGTTTCATATCCCCTCCTGCTGCCCATATTTTAAATTATGTATTTGTGTTTTATTGGTCTGAGTTCATAAATACAATGAAATAAAATGAAAAATGAAAACTAATTATGTAGCCTTTGGTAAACCATTCTAAGTTTCACATACTATCAATAATATGGAAATAATATTGGGTTGACTTAAAAATCGTTGTGATATATGGTGGCAATATTGAAAATAAGTAAACATTATTATAAACACATTAAGTAGAAAGAATTGCAGCAGAGAGCAGGTGTGGAGAGCAGCGAGAAGGAAAAGCGATGACTCAAGTTAGAGCAAGCTCAATATCCCAGTGAGACTGGTCTGCTAAGTAGCAATTTATTCCAATACACATGACTCAGGTGTTGTAAACATTTTCAGTGCAAACAGGGGAATTAAATTGGATGGCAAATTTCACAGTGACTTGGTCCTCCTTTATTTTTCTATTTATTCACCTTGAATTGCCAGCATTCATGCAATAGCTGGTGATGTTTTTCTCCTCTTTAACTGTTCCAGAAGTGAAATTAGAAAGCAATGCCCTCGTCCTGCTTTGAGGTTTGTGGCTGTATATTGAGTGTGATTTGTTCAATCAGTAAACCAGGGGAGGACATTCTGTAGAGGGCATGGGGCTATAGGCTATTGCCCTTCCAGATCCTGACAATGTTGTGTTAAGCAGCAAGATCCAATAGAAGAATTCTTGTACTCCTCACACTGTCTGAGCAAAATTGAAGGAAACCATTGTGCAAAGGTCTTTATTCAAGTTTAAGTGATCAAAATTAGAACTCTTCTTTAGACTGCACTGTTATTTTTTGGCTTGATCAGTGTAAGCCTCAGATTGCAAAATAATTCTGATGTTATTGAAATAAATAGGGAAAATAGTCCAAAGGAGCCTCTGCCCAAACCAGAAACCTTTCTTGTAAGATGTATCCCCACCATCATAGGAAAAAAATAAATAGAAGGAGGGTTTTTTTTTCCTTGCTGATTGTCTCATTCTATAAACACAAAGAGTAAGTTTCAGGGCTGATCTTGGTGGGGATCTTTTCACATATTCCTTATTTCCTTCTGTGCTTTTCTTTCTCTCTTTCTAGCTGCTGCAAGAGGCCACCATGAGTTCCCTGTGGTGCTCAGGCAGTGGAGATGTCATTGAGGACTGGTGTCGATGTGATTCAAGTGCGTTTGGCGCAGATGGACTTCCAGCCTGTGCACCACTCCCACACCCTGTGTAGGTGCACAGTGTCAAACTTTCAAACTTAAGATCATGCTAAATGTTCTCTAGGGAAATGTTACCATGTTAAGCATTCTTCTTTGTAACAAATAGTGTCACTACTGCAAATCAATGTCTCAGAGCCACCTGGAAAACCTGCATTTTCACAGGAAGTGGACATGATCAGTGGCTTTCTTGTTCCATGTTGAGTAGAAAATGGGTGGAAATAGCCAGGAAATATCTTGGCAGGTCAGGGTTTGAAATGGTTATCAATCAGAGAAACTTTGGGAAGTGTGAAGTCTCAAAATCCTCTTACTTTGAACTATATTTTATTTTCAGAAACCTTTTAAAGCCACAATTGGGACATTTTCTGATGCATGGAAGTATTATACTTTTAAAATCTTATTAAATCTTAATGCTCCACAATAACCAAAAGAAATTTCATAAAAATAGCCATTAAACATGTTCGGTTCCTCATATTCTGCAGAGGGCAGTGGCTTTATAAAACTGTGTAGGAAATAAAACCCATGCTTTCTGTGAAACACTTTGTCAACGCTGCTAACATCGGATGTTCTTGCTTTGACAACAGATGGAAATGCAGCCATTTTTCCTCTGTCGCTTTTAGAGTTAGTTGATGCTGGGAGGGGGAATGTGGATGAGAGTCCAGCTAGTCATAACAATAATAACTCAGCCATGAGAATCCAAGGTTATTAGGTCCAGAGGTGATAGAGATGTGAAGAGCTGAAGAGAAAGCCCCCACTTCAAGTTAATTGGGGAATGTGATTTATGACTGTTAATTGGAGGAGGGAATTGTGCCTTTTTACTTTGTGCCAGGGAGGGGACTTCAGTTTTTGGCTTCTTTAATGAAAACAATGCCTTGAAGTTCTTTTGAAGAGATTCATCTGTCAGAACCATACATACTTCTTATTAATTTCTCTATATCTTATGATGCTAGGACAATAATGGCAAACCTTTTAGAGACCAAGTGCCCAAAAACTGGCCCTGCCCCAACTCCACCCCCCATCCCCCGCTCCACCTGCCTGCAGGGCCACTCACCACCTCCAGGGACCGCCACAGATCGCCCAGGCAGCCCAGCAGTGCTATGGCGGTCATATCCTCTGCCCGCGCCCTGTAGCATCAACTGTGCATGATGGGGTGTGAGGGCAGAGTCTTGTCTACACTGCCTGACTGCCATGTCCTTGGGTGTGCAGCTCCACTTTGGCCACGCTCAGGGGCGACTCTCCTTCAGGGGGGCTGCTGGAGAAGAGGGGGTCGCGGGGGGAGGCGAGGCTGAAGCAATGGCATGTGTGCCCACAGAGAGGGCTCCGAGTGCCACCTTTGGCACCCGTGCCATAGGTTTGCCACTACTGTGCTAGGATATATGTATTACAGTATATATGTCTACCAGTAAAGCAGACCATTCTATTTTTCTTCCACAAATACCATTCAGTTGCATGGAAAAAGCTTTATTCAAATCCTAGTCCATCTAACTCAGTTTTGTGACTTATAGCAGCTATTAAGGCTTCCACTATGAAGTCTATATCACGAGTGACCACAATTTTAACCTGGACCTTTCTGTGTGGAAAGCAGGAACTCTGCCATTGGCTTAGCTCACAGAACACTGTTACAGATTCCCTAAAAGAGTCACAGTCCATAAGGAATGTGTTTTGCAGAGGAAATGCCAGAATATGACACACCATAGGGTTGAATAGTACCTTGGCATTTTTTGAATCTTGCACAGCAAAAATATTATTTAAATAGAGGTTATAGCCCAGATAGATTGTACATTGAAAAAAAACTTGATACTGTGGAGGAACAGTTCTTACATTTTCGGTACTTCTGGTGCAGGAATTCTGCCAAGTTAGAGAGAGGAACTGGCTTCTTAGGACTGTTTTTTCAGTGGATAAATCTGAGCCAAGATAACATCTTTCTACTTGAGGCTAAAATCTTCTAGATTTGAAATTCAAGTATGCTGATCAAGTATTTTTTATATGTATCATAAATAATTGGGGCCATAAATTTATCTTTCCAATGTTGAAGAACTTCTCTTTTGGCAATAATATGAGCCGGGAGAGTCTATTTCCATTTTCCAACTATCTGTTTCCATGTATTAGCGGTATAGTTTTAAAATGTGTGTGCATTGAGAAATATTAAACTTTGTTTTATAATCAGTATATGTAATCATTTCTTCCCAGAAAATAGTAACTTTAGGATATTGCAAATTTATATATTAAAATCAAGTATTATTCTGGTTGCATCTTCAACAATACAGTGATTTACTACATAGCAATGCAGGCTTTCACAGCCAGCATTAATCCAGTAGTGATGAGCTTCTGGAGTAATAGGCCATGGTGTAATTATTTGGTATCCTGATGTTTCACCAGCAACAGGATAACAAATAATTACACTACGGCTTATTAGCCCTGAAGCTCGTCATCATATCAATGGCTAAAATGATTTACTCGTTGTCTTTCTGTACAAATGCAGGGGGATCTGATAAATCTGAAAGACATTTTGTTGTATAAGTTTTTAGTGAGACTTTTGGCATTTAGTGAGGTTAAAACATTTTCCAACTGTTGAGGCAAAATGAGGGCCTCTGGTTCCTTATTCTATTCCTTCTTTTAAATTTGCATAGGAAATTGGTTTATTGATTACAGTTATTCATTTAGGTTGCTTGTGGGTTTTTTGGTCTCAGGATTTAATGATCCTGTCTAACAAAATAGGTATCATTGAAACTGAAAATGCTCCTGAAAGATGTCGATTAATGTTGTAAATGTAAATAGTTCCAGGTGGTGGCAACTGACCCATAAATACCAAATTAATATTTTTATTTGTAAGTGGGAATGTGCCTTTGAGTCAGTTTTGATGCTTAGCAACTGCTTGGATTAGGCTCTGTAGTTTTCTTAACAAGGTTTTTCAGAATTGGTTTGGCCTTGCCTTTTTCCTAGGGGCTGAGAGAGAAGGACTGGTCCTCAGTCATCCAGCTAGCTTTGTGCCCAAGGCAGGACTAGAACTCGCAGGCTCCCAGTTTCTAGCTGGGTGCCTATGACACCTAATTAGCTATTTTAAAAACATAGAAAGCAATAAAACTTCATCCATTAGTTGCTCTAATATAAAAATCCAGATCTTCCATAAAAGTGGTATTTTGAGATCTGAATTACTCCATAATTTAAAAGAATACCAAAATTGGTAGGGACCCTGGAGGTCTTCTAGTCCAACTCCCTGCTCAACCAGGAGACCCTGTACCATTTCAGCTGTCCAATCTCTTCTTAAAAGCCTCCATTGATGGAGCACCCACAACTTCTGGAGGCAAGCAATTTAAAGCAATTTAGCAAGAACAGAAGAATCAAAACAGATGTTTGGCTATGGGAGGAAAAGTGGCATACTCAGATCCTTGCCTGAACAGATAGACTCACCTGACATACGCTTGCATGCATTCATTCATTCATTCGTTTGTTTATTTCTTTATTCATTTTCCATATTTCTTAACTGCCCATCTCTCTCAGATTCATCTCTGTTGTGTACTCCCTTGCATCAGAGTAACAAACATTGCATGTAAAAAATACCTCACCCCAGATGGGCACACACACTTTCCTTCTTCTTTTAAAATCCAGGAGCACTGAATTTAAAGGGACAAGGATAAAGTAGGAGTTTTCCTTCTCTCCTGAAGTCAGTGCTTCCACTGAAGGGCTGAATTAAAAGGAGGGAGGAAAGGTGCTTATCACACAGAGTTTGCTTTCTGGATGCAAACATGGTGTTGGAAGTTTCTCCCATTCTCTTGTTAAACACTTGTCAACTGTCCCTTATGCAGTTTCAACCCTCCATTCTGTATTTTCTCACAATAATCTTGGGAAGTAGACTGGCCCAAAATCACCCCATGAGCTTCTATAATAAAGAGTACATTTGAACCTGGGTCTCTCCAGTCCTAAATCACACTTTAACTGCACTACCATACTGAAATTGTTATAGGGAAACCACATCAATTTGTTGGAGCAAAAGCAGTGTACGGTATATAATCTGGGGTGCCTTGTAGGTAATAATTCCATTGTGGTTCTATCACAATACTGTTAAACCTGGTGTCTGCAGTGATTGATCCACCACTTTAATAACTTGAGCTACTTACTTAAGGATTTCATAATCCAGTATTCCAAATAAAATGAACAAAAAAAATTGCTTGCTCCTTAAAAACAGAGAACAAAATGGATTAAAAGCCAGGAAATATCATTTTAATCTGAATAAAAGAGTTAGGTAATGGTTTAAATGGGTCACTGTGCCCTTTTCAGTTGTAGGGCAGCCAGGCAGGGAGAAATTAAACTGGAAAAGATAAACCTTGACTCAACATTAATTTGTAACAGCTATTTTAATCAAATGCCAGCCAATTTTGAAAGAATTCAGAAGAATATGCTAAATTTCTTTCCCAATGGCAAGGTTTGTGCTGAAAAACTGATTTTCTGGTGGTTCAAGGTAAAATGATTATTATCTGCACAGTACTGATGAATTACTGCTATTATAAAAAAGCATAAAATTCAACAATTTTGATTTCAGATGACATTATAAGATGTTTCAAATTTCTACTTGTGCATCAAAGCTGCATGAAATTGATTGTGGGTTAATCTATCTACAATCTGTTGAAGTCACCTACAATTAATCAATTTACTAAAGGAATTGTCTCTACACACTGAAACAAGCTATTAGATATGACTCAGAAATGTTCCAAATTTTTTTTAATATTCTGCCATTGCTTGCGATAATGTCAGTTTGCACCATGTAATGCGCTTTTCTCACCCATTACCCATGTTCAGTTTAAAAACCACTTTGCATTCATTTCTAGATTAACTATTAGCAGGGTGGTTTTATTCTGGTTAAATAGAGTCCTTTCCTCCTGTATACACATGAGTTGTCCCCAAATAAATCTAATTTCCTCATGTAAAGCTCTTCCCAACCTCTGTTTTGCCCTCCTGTCCCTGCAGGCTGAGACTGTCCACAGTTCATGAGCCCAGCAGTTCCCTAGTGGTGCTGGAATGGGAACACTCAGAGCCACCGATTGGCGTGCAGATTGTGGATTACCTCATCCGCCAGGAGAAGATCACTGACCGCTTGGACCATTCGAAGGTGGAAACTGGTGAGCGCAGCTGATCCTTCTGAAGATGGTCAAAATTTAAGAAATAAATGAAGAGTAATTGGTTACCAACTTGTATCTAGAACAGTTCCAATTAAAACATTTAATTAAAATAAAATTCTGTCCCATTAGCACATTGGCCTTAAGATATAATATTAAGGAAATAAACTACTGGAATAGTCACGCTCTGAGGGGTTTTTTGTTTTCTTTCTGTTTCCCTTTCTTCAAACATCCATCTCATTTTAAATCTTACTGCTTAGTAGGGAGCTAAATGCAAACCATGGAAAATGCAGACTCTTTTCTCATATCACTATGTATAATTTCAGTAGCAAAATATAACATTAGAACAAAGTTGTAATTATTCAGGATTAACCCAGCGGACTAATCCAAATGAATATACCCCATTACTTACTGATACCCAGGAAATAGTGAAGAAATTTTCAGTATAATCCAAATTTCCCAGTTTGCATTCTGTTTTGCAGATAATACTGGTTGGATCTGTTCTGACCTGAATGCATTATAAATTATAGACTTAGATCTGAATGTTCTTTCAATTCTAGTTTGAAAATTCAATTGGTACAAAGACTGCAGAGAAAGTCCCTATTTTCAAGACACATAATTCCAATGGCTATTGTTAATGGTCATTGTGTTCTTGTTCTTGTGCGCTGTGAACTTTAAAATCCCTAATGATATGAATTGTAGTATTCCAAGGATTGTTACTTGTCTTAAGAGAAATGTTGCTGAGGAGTAGGATTAATTCCAAGGCCCCTACTTTGCAGGATGCCTCAGATTTCTACCCTTTCTCCAGTCCTGTACATAAAACTGCTTTGTGGGGTTATTTGTTGTACAGGATGCAGTATCATCAATATGCTGGTGATACCCAGTTATACATCTCTGCGCTGCATCGACCATCTTGTTGCCATCAAGGTTCTTTTCTGTCTCAGGAAGTGGGGAGGCTGAATGGTTGTGGGTTTTAAAACATGCACACAAACAACACACACACACAATGTGGAGAGTTTCTATCTTTTACTCTGCCTGGCGGTGTACTTCCCATTCAGACTTGGTGCACAATCTTGGAGTTCTTCTGGACTCACAGCTTCAGTTCAAAATGCTGTAACTAAGGAAGCCTTTGCAAAGGTATATCTTATGCACCAATTGCACCCGTATTAGACTTTGCACCATAAGCAAAGGAAGCTTCACTAATAGAGACTCATGCCTTAGTCACCTTTTCTTTGGATTACTGATATGCACTTTATGTGGGACTACCGTACTCTTGAAGAGCTCTCAGAATCTACAGCTGATCCAGAATGCAGCAGCATGGGCACGTTTGGCATTTTTCACTATTATACAACACTAGTTTCCAGTTGACTTCCAGGTGCAATTCAAGGAGCAGTTTATCCCTTAAAAAGGTCTATGTGGCCAGGCCACTTGCAGGACCATATGGCAGGACCTCCCATATTTTCTGTCCACCCCACCAACTCAGTCAGGAAAGGCTTAAGATTCCTTCCATTAAATAATGTTACTTTGTTGGACTCAGGAGCCATGCCTGCTCTTTGGCAACGTTTATACTGTGGGAGAAGCATTGCTCCAGAAATCTAAATGACTTGGTAGCCTCTTATAAGGCATTTGGTTCAAAACGTTAGGCAAGTTGTGTTTCTTTATAATGTGGGATTATTGTTTTAATCTAAGACTCTGTGGTTTGGACTGTTGGGTTGTTCCTGTTTAATTTTGTGTGCCATCCCAGAGTCATTGCTGTAATATGGCAGCTATATAAATCTCTTAAATAAATAAATACATCTGAGTTAGGATCCTCATAGTTGTGACACCCATGTTTTGGAATTAATTGTCCTATGAACTATGAGAATGGAACCAGGCTAAAGTTGCCATGATTTAAACCTAGAGGAGGCATGTGTACAGAGAAGGGAAAAGCCAAGAAATTTGTCAAACAATATTTTTGCGAGATAGATAAGAAAGAATATAGGATCGTAAGAGAAATATCATCCTGATGATCATTAAGTGGGGCATAAAAAATGAAATAGTTTACTGAATTAATAAGTACTGTGCCAGTATCAAGCACTATTTGACTATCAGCTCATGGTCACACTTCCTTTTCCTCAAAATCAGAGGAATCTGGTAGCATTTTTATGACTGATACATTTCATATGTATTAGCTTTTATTACCTGTATCTCACTTCTCTGTATATTGCAAAGGCTTAGGTCTTTTAATATAAGTGTTAGTCATAAAAAGTGCTATCTGACTCCTCCTGATTTTGGGCTAGTGTAAATTAGATTAACATGGATTTACTTTTCCCACTTTCCTTTGTGTTCCTGCTCCTTTTCCTACCAGTTTTATCACATAATGGCTGGCTTGCCTGTTTCCCTAGAGACGGTGCTGAGTTTTGTGGATGACATAATCTCTGGAGCCAAATCACCTTGTGCGATGCCAGCCCAGGTGCCTGACAAGTTATCTACAACTATTTCCTTGATAATTCGTTGTCTGGAATCTGACACTATGTACATGTAAGTTACAATGCCAATAACAGATTTCTTTTTGCACTCTTTGAGCTGATAAAATAATAGCATTCAGCATACCTTATAAGCTTTGTGGGGGTAGGAGTGGGGGAACTATTCATCAGATTTATTTTTGAATCTTTGCTTATTTTGTTGGCAAGGTGTTTTAAGATTGAGCAATGCAACTTTTATAGATTTGCTAGTTTACAACTTCCAGGAAAGAAACAACAAACTGGAGATGCCTCTCCTAAAAGCAGAGCCAATGACTACAGTGAAATAAAGAACCAGTCCATCTCTTTGTAATTCCTCTCTAAACAAGGAGAGACTTGATATTGTCTACAAACTCTCCAGACAATTGTTCCTTATGAGGAGACTGCAAGACCATGGTCTTTAGTGGGTTTAAAGTTCTGGGAGTTGAAGGAAGGTCATCTTTGCTCAGACGTTGTCAGCCCCTTTAAGGACAATGGTTTTGCCTGCTTTTCTAATCACTTTTGAAATTGCTAGTTAACTGCCTTTCAGGTATTAGGAATCTTTGGATCAACAAGGTTTGGACAACCCCCGTTTCCTTCAATCCATAATGAAAGGAATTTTAAATATAAGTTTAAGGATTTATATATATATAAATATATTGGGAATAAAGAAGCAAGAGGGTACTACAACATTGATTCTGTAAAGTTACCAATAGATGAATTTGAAATAAGATTTTGAAATTAAGGATACAGTTAAAGGAGAAGAACACTTAAATTTGACTAAAATAGAAGGAAGCAGAATACCTTAACATTGCATGGATTGAGGAATATTTGTGAAATACCATACAATAAAATAAGTGCATTAATTCTAAGTGAATCTAGGTGTTAGCCTTCCTGGGTAAACCAGACCAGAAACATGAGCTAAATCTACTTTATTGTAAGGCTAACAGAAGCTTGCATGTCTGAAATTACAAAACTTCCCGCTGCCACTTTTAACTGCTTAATCCATTAGGGTGGTTCCTTTTTATGTTATTTTTCCTCTGACCATTAAGCCACTGGGAGCTCCTGCCTCTCTTGTCTGATTCTTTCCTAGGCAGCTTCTCTTCCCGCCCCCTTCCTCAAGATCATTCCCGAATTCCCAAGGTCATTATACTAGGTCACAGGTCGGCAACCTGCGGCTCTGGAGCCGCATGCGGCTCTTTGAGCCTTCCCCGGTGGCTCCCAGCCTCCTCTGCCTTTGCAGAGAGAGACAGAGACAGAGAGAGGCAATTGCGCTTCCCTGCTTCCTTCTCTCTCTCTCTCTCTCTCTGTGTGTAAAAGATTGCACTCACAGTGTTCTCGGAGGAGCTGAAAAGCTTTCTGGACGGAGCTCCTCCCTTTGCTGCATCTCTGCAGGAAGCAGGAAGCAGGAAGGGCAGGAGAGAGTTAGCTAGCCCAGCTAGGCTGACTCAGGAATTCTGGGAGTTGAAGTCCATGAGTCATAAAAGAGACAAGGTTGCCTACCCCGGAGGTTGTTGGACAACAGCTTGAAGCTTGCCAGGTGAGCAGCAGATAGGAGAGAGAGAGAGAAAGAGAGAGAGAGAGGGAGGGAGAGAGAGAGGGAGAGAGAGAGAGAAGAAAGAGAGAGAGAGAGAAAGAAAGAGAGTGGGGGAAGAGGAGTGGCAGGCAGACCAAGGGCAGATAGAGAGGGAGGGAGAGAGAGAGACAGAGAGAGAGAGAGACCCTTTTGACATCTAAAATGAAGATAACAGTGCATATATCCTTTTTTTACCTGTATGTGTATTTGTATGTATGTGTATATATGTGTGTGTGTGTGTGTGTGTGTGTATACATACATACACACACACATATATATATATATATATATATACACACACACACAAACACACACACACAAACACACACACACCTATAATAAAGGTAAAAAAGGATATATGCAGTGTTATCTTCATTTTAGATATCAAAAGGATTTTGCGGCTCCCGGTGTTTTATTTTTGGTGGGAAATGGGTCCAAGTGGCTCTTTGAGTGTTTTGGGTTGCCTACCCCTGTACTAGGTGTATATCCAGTTGGTTCTTTATAACACACCTCTAGTTATATTATCCGTTCTATTTTCAGGTTTACACTTTGGGGTGTAGATAACACTGGGAGACGCTCCAGGTCAAGTGATGTGACAGTGAAGACTCCTTGTCCAGTGGTGGATGATATCAAGGCGCAAGGTAACTTTATGACAAGTAAGAGACAACTTTCCATCAATAGGAAAGACAAAAGCAAAAACAAAAAAAGCTTTCACTTATAAGAATAGTGGCTTATTTTAAACAAAATTGTTCTTCAGATGACAAGCTTATTCTTCCACCCACAAATATTAGAATTATATTGAATCTTGTGTAATTATTTTTTTAAAAAATCTATGAAAATGTTTGCTTTTCTGTATCTAGTGACATATAGTGAATTTGATCATTTCCCAAAGCAATAGAGCCAAATGCTTTTACAAACATAACAAAATTATGAACGCATTGAATTCTTTGAATAGGAAGAAATTTCATTCCTTTGGGAATTTTTCCTCCCCAAAATGGGAAGGCTTTAATGCTTCTTTATTATTTATGCAGGAATACCCATTTTACTTTCAGCTCTAAAAGAAGAATCGAAGAAATGAATGTGTTTACATTAATTGATATCAAGTGTTTTTAATATAGTGGATTAATGAAGTAAAAATTATAAGCATATTCTATGAGCAGCTGAATCAGAGGAAAGGAAAAAAGGAAAGGAAAGGAAAGGAAAGGAAAGGAAAGGAAAGGAAAGGAAGAACAATAGGTACTCAGGCTCTGCAGTTTGTAACATGCACAAACATGACCAGTTGAAAAAACACAAATCCTGCATAGATCTTTGAGGATCTCCTCATTTACTCCCCTCCACTGAGAATTTCCCATTTATTTCTACTTTTTGCTTTCTCCTTTTTTTAACTAGTTAGTAATCCAGAAAATGACAGGTCCTCTTATCTCAGTCACTGCTATATTTACTGCAGAGGCAAGATTTACCTTTGCAGAATTCAACTCTGTTTTCTTCAGCAAGGTTTGCTATGCTACATGCTTAGTTGTTTTTCCTTTGATTATCATTTTTACCAAATTGTCCAGAAGACATGCTAAGCTGAACAACATATAATTTTGAGGGCCTCTCCTTTTAGAAATGGATGTCACATTAACTACCTTCTAGATCAGGGGTGTCAAACTGCTGGCCCATGGGCCAGATGCGTCATGCTGAAACCAAGCCCACCCCAGCTCCAGCAATGGGGAAAAAGTCATGATATGTCGCGACAGGTCATGTGGCATGGCGAGTTTGACACCCCTATTTTAGCTTTTAGCCTGAGCTCTATTTTAAATAATATGTTAATACTTTAAAGTAATGTAAGGATAGACACCATCAGTATCCACTGATTTGATTTGTATAGTTCCTCAAACATTCTTAAAATATCTTCCCTTGTTAGCTTGATTCCCTAGTGTCACCTTACTTTTTCTTTTTGCTCTTCTTTGTGCTGCTTATTAGGGCAGCCTTTCTATTTCCACAGGAAGCCTTATTTTTTACATGTTGCTGAATAGTGCCAAATAATCATTATAGACCTTTGGTTGACCCTGTTATATTATGGAATAAATGTCAGTTTAGCTTGTTAGAATGCCTCCAGCTTTTTCCTTTCAGTCTTTCACCATTTAAAGCAGCCAAGGAAACTTAGAAGCCTGAAACCAAGTCTCCCAGAAACTTAAAACTACTTTCTTTTTCAGTAGAGCTGCTTAGTGCTTACTGTTGACTTTTCCAAAAAAAAGATCCCTTTATGTGACACCACCCTGGTATCTTAAGTGTGTGAGATGAAGCAGGTGGAAAGATGAAAAATGTGAGGACAAGTTTTTCAAGTTGGAAAGCAGAGTATGTCCTGTTGCAGTCAATCCCAAATGCCCAGCACTTCTTGTGGAAAAGTATAAGTTCCAGAATTTAGGAAGGTTGAAGATCCTGACTACTTCCTGAACAATTTTGAAAAGTCTTGTCTCTACCACAAATTGGGGTTTGGACATTTGAAAGTGCTAGAACAAACTTCATATCTCTTCCATGGAAGACACTTTTGTCTGTAATGTAAAAAGATCATACGATCCTTGACATGAACATGATGAAGCCAGGACATCTGAGTAAATAACTTGTCTACAATTTTTCTTCGTTGTCCTTTTTCAATTATGATTTCTTTTAAAGTTCTGAATGTTAGTGTGCTATTGGTCAGACCTGTATTTGCCTCCTCAGTGACAATTTACTTTTAGCCTGTCATTTTTTTCTAATTTTGTGAATCTATGATCCATTAAGTTTATCTTAGTGTAATCTCTAGAAGTCTCCTAGCTGAACCTTGGGATCAGCAATTGGATATATTAAGGCTTAAAAGCAAATTCTGATGAAACAGATGCCTTGTGAACATGTAGGCTGAAAACTGATTATGCATAAATTGTAGTTAGGCTCTGTAAAAATTTGTTTCTCCTAGTTTGGTTGGGAGAAGTCTGAGAGTTCATCTAATGTTCAGTTTGCTGCTATATAGGTTCATTAAGTTATTAAATTGGGTTGTACTGCAGATAACAAACCAAATGTAACCAATCGAGGTTAAAGTCTTCACCTTGCATGTACAGACATGCAAATGCCTACCTCGCCTAGCCTCACTCAAAGGTATTAGAGAAAGCTTATCATTTATTAACCAGAACCATGTACAGAAACCATATACATCCACACTATATCCACCTTTTTTCCTCCAATCCAGAAATAGCTGATAAGATCTACAACCTCTTTAATGGCTACACTAGTGGAAAAGAGCAACAAACAGCTTATAATACCTTACTGGATTTGGGCCCCCCAAGTCTTCACCGGGTCCTCTATCACTACAATCAGCACTATGAAAGCTTTGGGGAGTTCACTTGGCGCTGTGAGGATGAATTAGGACCTCGGTAAGATGCTCCTTCCTTCCTTCCTTCCTTCCTTCCTTCCTTCCTTCCTTCCTTCCTTCCTTCCTTCCTTCCTTCCTTCCTTCCTTCCTTCCTTTCTGAAATTGCTTTGTAATCTTATTTGTTTGTTTTTTACATTACTGTACTGCTCATCTCCCTCAAACAGAGTGGGTGGTGTCCAATAAAATATTGAAATATAAAACAATATACTGTATATAAAAGTTGAAAAAAATAAATTAAGAGAAGGCAAGAGGTTAAAATTAGTTAAAAGTCTTGAACAAGTAGTTACATTATTGTCAAAGTTGGTGCATTCAGATTTATGTTGACCTCATGTGCCATTCTAATGAGACTTGGCTCACTTAAAGCATTACAGAAATGAGGACACCATTTCCATAACACTGACAAGATGACTGCAGAGATATGGTCACCAGCAGCCCTATGATCTCAGGTTGCCTAACTATCAGTCAAATGATGATGATATTCTTAGCAACTAGAATTATTAAAAAGGGATTATTTTCCAGTTCTAGCAGTCTCTAAAGCAGTGATGGCGAACCTTTTAGAGACTGAGTGCCCAAACTGCAACCCAAAACCCACTTATGCATCGTTGAGTGCCCGGTGGGTGTGGCCCATTGGGTAGGCGTGGCCTATTGGGTGGGCATGGCTGCAGTGGTAACGGCAGACTGGGTGGGACTAAAAAGTTCAATCAATCAATTCCAACTTTGCGAGATCTTTTTTTTCCCCACGAGAAGTTGAAATTGACTGAACCTTTTTTTTTTTTTTTTTTTTTGCACACAGCAGCAGAAGCCTAAAGTGAAAAGGTTTTATAAAACCCAGCTGAAGGACTGGGGCGACGGTGTGCATGCCCACAGAGGGGGCTCTGAGTGCCGCCTCTGGCACCTGTGCCATAAGTTCGCCACCACTGCTCTAAAGGATCATAATAAAACTTAGAAATCAGGTGTTGAAGCCTCTAACTTTAGGTAGATGATCAGGCTATGTGATTGTCAGGACCTATTATTTGCACATTCTTAACCAGGAGGCTGGGTCATTGCTCTGCTTTTTACATTTTTCTCTTTCATACATTCATGCATTTCTCCTCCAGCTGGAAACAAACATTCCCTTCCACCCCAAATTGCTGCAAGAGGAAATCATGTTCATAAGAGAGTACCCATTATACTTTCGCCTTTGATCAAGCGTGTTCACAGGTTTTTGTATTGTTTCAATTAATTGAATTGTTGTAACACAAAAAAACTCAGTGTTTATGTTGCAGAAAATGAAACCTCAAACAGAATTAAATTCTTTCAAGGTCAAACTTAGTGAACAGATAAGGATCTGAAATTGTATATCTCTTCTCGTCATTCTTTGCAAAATAAAGGTGATTGTTATAGAATTTCCCTGTCTGTTAGTCTTCCAACAATTTCGGATAAATTAGCTTTTGTTTCAGATGGAAATTGATTACTCTTATTCGAAATGCAAATGGAGCAAAGAGCTCTACGTATAAGGGTTATCCACATAGCCAATTTGTCGTGCTTTCCTCAAGAATTGGGAAGGAACTATATTGGCATAAATCATGCGGCCCCTTGATGTGCCTCTGAAATGTGCTGTAATATGCCACTCTTCTTACAGCTCTAGCATGCAACCCCTTAAAATTGGTTGGCTATCTTCTCATCAGAAATTCATTTCCTGACCAATATCACCAAGTACAGGAAAAGCTGCCCTTAGCTACCCCACAAAATGTATTTCAGGGCAGTACTTTACTCCCTGGGTGCTCTGCTTTTTTGGGGGGGGGGCAATGTATAGTCTCACTATTGACCACTAGATAGATGCAAAGTACCAGAATCATCTGTCTCTCTTGCCTGCCATCTAGCAGCTGTCTGGGTTTGTGTAGTCTAGCTTCGCCATAAGTATTGATGAAGAGCCAGAGTTCAAGAAAGAAGTTGTGGAGTGCCTCAGTGTTTCACATTCAAGATTCATATTACAATATATTGTTGTCCGACATGCCACATCCAAACCCACTACCCTTCCATTTTTTCTTTTTGCAGAAAAGCTGGTCTTATCCTTTCCCAGCTTGGGGATCTAAGTAGCTGGTGCCACAGTCTTTTACAAGAGCCCAAAATCAGTCTTCAGCGTACAACGCTCAAATTCCTTGCCTGCCGCTACAGTGAGATCAAGCCATATGGATTCAGTTGGCCGGAGCTGAGTCGTGACCTAAAGAAAACATGTGAGGAGCAGACGCTGAGTATTCTTTACAATGACTATGGAGACAAAGACAACTGAACAGGCTCATGGAAAGACATCAAAAGAATTTTCTCAGAATTGGGAAGACGGGGAGTTTTGTAGGAGCAGGTTGTTGGGGTTTTTACATGGATATTCAACACACTAGATAGATCTCTAATGATAGTGCTGCAGAGAGAGAGAGAGAGAGAGAGAGAGAGAGAGAGAGAGAGAGAGAGAGAGAGAGAGAGAGAGAGAGAGAGAGATAGATTATGTTGTTTCTGTTGACTTTACATGGTGCAAAGCTTTCCCACATTTGCAAGTGATGTGATATCTAGTGTGATGGTGGTTATGGGAGATGTTGTCTTTGGAATGAGGGAAGTGCTCTGCTCATTTTACCAAGTTATTCCTTAGTCTCGTGTGGGGAGGTATTACTGCATGTGTGTGAGCCACCAAGAAAACACTCCTAGAACTGATAACAAGGACACACACAGAGATGCACATGAAATAGAACAGAAGAACCAAAGCTAACACAATTCTAAACAATCAGCAACAGGAAGAAAAATGCAGGAATATTTAAAGGAAAGGATAAAATACATAGAATGAATTAACTAAATATCTTCCACATAAAAGTTCCTTTATGTGATGTTTGCCTCATTTCCTTTTATAGCAGCCATTCCTTTGTTATTTCACCCTTGAATGTCTTTCTAGGGTAGCCAGAGCATCTCTTCTTGCAGTCCCCATTTGGATATGCATCACTGAGACACGTTAAAATTTAATGAAAGATTTCAAAGATGCCAAACGGCCGAGACCGCAACATAATTTAGGAGCTTCCATAGCTTGAAATGTTTCAGATGAAACAAATTTAAAATAAAATTTGGAGAATCTTAACCCACAGCCATCCAGCCTGCACCAGCAGTTATTAAGACTTGATTGCAAATAGTCCAATAACATTAGTGGGAAGAAAAGTGCATCCATAGTTGTAGAAGTAGAAAGAGAGAAATTAAAAAGCAACTCATCTAATAGAGTTGCTACATTTGGAACAAGGCTTTGCAATCTGGATTATGCAGCTTGAGTTAGTTTCTGTACACTCAGTATTTAGTTACCAGGATATATAATTAGATTTATAATTTCCAAATGTATGAATACCTGGTGAGCTTCCTTGCATATGCTGCTGATGAGCCAGAAATCAGTTGGCTGAGAGGGTCTGTGATTTGCCAAAAAGCCAGTGGTGGGATTCAGATATGTGAACAACCAGTTCTTTGTGTGGATGCCACTTCCAGAAGTCCATTCTGGGCCTGCGCAACAAAAAATTAGCTACTGGTTCTGCCGAAGTGGTGCGAAGCGGCTGAATCCCACCACTGCGAAAAGTTTCATCTATGTTTGGCTGCTGTGGTCAAATGCTTCTTTCACCTCTTTAAGAGTCATTTGCCATCCAAACAGTGTTGTGTATTGTTGAACATGCCCACAAAGGAGATGATAACAGGAAATCTTAGAGCCAGATAGTGTCCAGTAGGATTAATGTTCAGTCATTCTAGAAACCTACATGTCCAGTTCTGGGTTGTTTTTTTGTCTAGTACATACTCTGAAAATATTCTCAGCCAAGAACTTCTCAGGGAAACTGAGCTGGAGAAATCTTTATCTGCACCAAGTAATAATGATCTTCAGGAACATAGCTAGAATCAATAAGATGAGGCATGACTACATTCAGCTCAGCAATTTTTTATTTGTCAGCGATAACAAAAGAACCCCCCAAAGGTGAGAGCTCTAATCACAGAAGCCAAAATTTCAGCTCCTAAGAAAAGCAACATACTCTTGCTTGTTATGGTTCTGATAGGAAAGAGGGAACCTGAAATGTCTGGCAACTGTTGCAAAAGGCTTCGGCTTCCTCTCATTCCATCGAAATCTAAAGCTTCTTTCAAACTATTTGGAAACTTGGTAATTATGTACATATACAGTATGTTCTACCCATCAATATTTGCCTATCCTAAGGATACTTTCAGATTACAAGGGTCTGAATGTGCTTCTAAAATGTACATAGTCTACCTTAGAATATATTGCAGAACATGGTCTGAAAAAAATGTGCATTTTTAAAGCCTTCCTTGTTAAATTATTAATTTATTAAAGGACTCTGGGGTTAGAAGTAATGTTTTAGCAGAAAAAAGGCTGCATTTATTCCCTATTGCAGTGTTCCTCAATTTCAGCAACTTTACGATGTGGGGACTTCGACTCCAAGAATATCTTAAAAGTTGCTGATATTGAGGATCACTTCCTCACTGCCTTGCTGTGCACCCATTCGTGGTTGAGACTTCCCACAGGTGCCCTTCATTAAAAACCTATCATGAAGAATTCTAAAAGTATTCTAAAATTCCTTAGTATATGGGATCTCTTTCAAGTCCATGAGTGGTCTAAAAATGGCAGGTTGATTTAATGATTAGTAAATAGATACTGTGCTTGCACCAGATCCAAAGTATGGATGGCCTCATGACCATTTTCAAGCATGCACAGCCCTCCTGTCTAATTTGGCTCCGAATGTAGTGAGGTAGCAACATCTGTTGTCAGTTTCCTCTTATGGAAAGTAATGCTGGGAGACTAGTCACTAAAATCATCATGGGGAAATCCCTTACTAGTGTGTGACTGCCATTCTGACTTCAAATGGAACATATCTTGCCTGCAATCTAACAAAGATGGTAGATGTGCTCTTTGCATTACACTCTCATGTTGAGCTCAACAATAAGTAAGAGGGGATGGAAACAGAATTTTAGCTCTTAAAGTATTCACTTTTTTAATGTCAAAAACATTGGTAATGGGTCTCCAGCTGAATGCTCTGAAATATTAGAACAAATTACTTGTCTATTAAATATTTCAACTAGAGATGTTTACGCTCTTAAAAAAGCCTTAGTCAATGAAACATGCTTAAAATTGCTACATGTCTAATGACTACAACTTTCTGATGATTATAGAGGGAGAAAGGGATGGTTGTTTATAGATGGTACAGATGCTTTTTGCTTAATCCCATCAGTGTCAGGAAAATGCATAGGCTAATGCACCATCTCTCCTTTCAGTGTCTTGTACCGTTGTTTTTTTTCCTTTTTTTGGCCAGTGTCCTTTTCCTTTACCTTTCAAATCCTGGCTCCCAAAATGCTATAGCCATTTGGCTATACTGAAGAACAGTTTCCTCTTAGTTTGTCTCATATTTCAGTTTAGGGTTTTCTTGTTGCAGAATTCTTTTCTGTATAAGATTTCATGTTTGAATTAGTGGAATGTTATAGACGTAAAACCACACTCACTAATTGTAGGCACCATTAGATTTGTAATGCACAACTATGTTAGGAGAACCTATATCGTCTCAGACAGATGGATGTCCAGTCTCTTCTTAAAAATCTCCAGTGATGGAGCATCCACGATTTCTGTGGGTAAGCTGTTCCACTGGTTGATTGTCCTCACTGTCAAGAAGTTTTTCCTTAGTTCCAGGTTGCTTCTTTCTTTGGTCAGTTTCCAACTGTTGTTTCTCATCCTTCCATCTGGTGCTTTGGTGAACAACCTGGCCCCCTCTGCTTTGTGGCAGCCCCTCAGATACTGGAACACTGCTATCATGTCCCCCCTATTTCTTCTTTTCCTTAGACTAGCCAGACCCAAATCCCATAGCTGTTCTTCGTATGTTTTAGTCTCCAGGCTTCTGATCATCTTAGTTGCTCTTCTTTGAATTTTTTCCAAACTCTCAACATCTTTTTTGTGATATGGTGACCAAAACTGGCTGCAGTATTCTAGGTATAGTCTTACTGGGCTTTATAAAGCGCTAATAGGACTTCTCGTGATCTTGATTCTATGCCTCTGTTTATACAACCCAGGATTTTGTTAGCTTTTTTGTTTGTTGCTGCACACTGCTGGCTCACAGCCAAATGATTGTCCACTAGGACTCCAAGGTCCCTCTCACAGTTACTGTTTTTGAGCCAGATCTCGCCCAATCTGTATTTGTGCCTTTGGTCTTTCCTGCCTAAATGTAAGACTTTGCTTTTCTCCACACTGAAACTCATTTTGTTGGCTAGGGCCCATTGTTTGAGTTTGTCAAGATCTTTTTGGATCCTGTGTTTGTTTTCTGGGGTGTTGGCTACTCCTGCTACTTTGATGTCATCTGCAAATTTGATGAGTTCCCCTTCTATTCCCTTATCTAACTCATTGATGAAGTTCTTAAAGAGTACTGGACCTAAGATGGAACCTTGTGGTACCACTGCTTACTTCTCTCCATGTGGATGTAGTGCTATTGAGGACTACTCATTGAGTACGGTTTGTTAGCCAGTTACAGATCCATCTGGTAGTGATGTTGTCTATCCCACCTTTTCTTAGTTTACCAAGGAGTAAGTTGTAGTCTACTTTGTCAAATGCCTTATTGAAGTCCAAGTATACTATGTCCACTGAGTTTCACTGGTCTACTAGTTTAGTCATTTTAACGAAGAATGAAATGAGATTGGTTTGGCATGATCTATTTTTGACAAACCCGTGCTGGCTACTAGTTATGACTTTGTTTGCTTCTAGTTGTTTGCAGATCTGGTTTTTTTTATAATCTTTTCTAGGATTTTCCCAGGTATTGATGTTAAACTGATTGGTCTATAGTTTCCTGGGTCCGTTTTTTTTTCTTTCTTGAAGATGGGGACCACATCAGCCGTTTTCCAATCCTCAGATACTTCCCCGGTGCTCCAGGTTTTATGGAGGATGTGATGCAACGGTTCTGAGATAACCTCTGCTAGCTCTTTCAGAACTCTGGGATGTAGCCTCTCGGGTCCCAGTGATTTATATTCATCAAGGTTGGATAGATGCTTTCTTACCATTTTCTTGCTTATTTTAATTTTTGTTTCTGGTATGTCTTTTGCAGTGGTTTTTTTTGGAGTGTTGGGCTCCAACACTTCTTGTGTGAAGACTGACACAGAGTATGAGTTAAGCAGCTCTGCTTTCTCTCTGTTGCCCATAATTTCTTTGCCATCTTCTCTCTTTAGTGGATCTACAGTTTCCTTGATTTTTTTCTTGTTGTTAATATGTTGGAAGAAGCTTTTTTTATTGTCCTTTATTTCTGTTGCTAGCCTTTGTTCGTTTTGAGTCTTTGCTTTCCTGACTTCGTCTTTGCATGCTCTGGCTGTCTGCTGGTAATCGGCTTTAGTTATGTGCCCCTCTTTCCATTTTTTGTATTTGTCCTTTTTGTCTTTTAGTTTGTTAGTGAGTTCTTGTGCAGACATGCTGGTTTCTTTTTGGATTTCTTATTTTTCTTTCTCAGTGGTATTGTGCTGGTCTGGGCTTTTGTGATCACATTTTTCACACTTCCTAGGTTGTTTTCCCCTTTAGGATTTTCATCCATGGGATTTTTCCTAGGTTCTCTCTTAGTTTGTTAAAGTCTTTTGAAGTTTGGGACCTTGGTTGGATTGTTATCTATTGCTGGTGTTTGCATTATATTAAATTCTAGTGTGATGTGGTCACTTTCACCCAGGGTTCCGGTAATTTTGATTCCTCTATCACTTCTTCTCTGTTTGTAAGGATTAAGTCCAGTATAGCTTTACGTCTAGTCCCCTCCTCCATCTTTTGAGTGACAAAAGTTGTCGGCTAGATTGGTTAGGAATCTGCTTGATCTCCTGCTCATTGCAAAGTTTGTCTCCCAGTTGATATCTGGGTAGTTGAAGTCTCCCATTACTACTGTGGTATGCTTCCTGCATGCATTTGTTAGTTGGTTGGCAAAGAGTTCATCTATTTCATCTGGTTGGTTGGGTGATCTGTAATAAACACCTATGGCAATGTCACTTTTGTTTTCTTATATATTGACCCATATACTTTCTAGAGAGATTTTGTCTTGGGTCATGTGCATTTCTGCAGATATGTAGTCTTCTCTTACATATAGTGCAACTCCTCCTCCTCTTTTTATAGACCTGTTTCTTTTGAACAATTTGTATCCATCTATCTGTCCATTCCATTCATGGGTTTCATCCACCCAATTTCTGTTATGCCAACTATGTCATACCCTCCCTCATGTACTATTGCTTCTAGTTTGCCCTCTTTGTTCCCCAAGCTTTGAGCATTTGTGTATAAGCATTTAAGGTTTTTATGCCTGTCCATGGGGGTGTTTCCTATGTCTCCTGGTTGTTGTTTGAGTTCTTTTTTTTTATCTCTGCTTACTTTATTGTTTGATTTGCTTTCTTGGGATTTGTGATTGGTTTTAGGTTCTAGAGTTTCTAGAGATTGGTCGCCCTCCCCTCTCACTTTTAGTTTAAAGCCCTCCTGATGAGTTGGGTCAGTCTTTTTCCAAGTATATTTTTGGCTTTTTTTGTGACGTGTAGCCCATCCCTTGTCAATAGTCCTTTGTGTAGGAAGTGCAGTCCATGATCCAGCGTTGGTGTCGCCAAAGTTTTCTTGGTGACACCAACCCTTTAGCCAATTATTTATTTTTAAGATTCTTTTTCCCTCAATGGGTGTTTGCCTTTTGTTGGGAGAACTGAAGAGAACACTATTTGTGCTCCTAGCTTCTTGACTTCATTGCCTAGATGTTTCTAGTCCCTCACTATTGTACTCAGGTTGTTTGTTGTGTCATTCATCCCAATGAAGGAGGAAGGGGTAGTAGTCTGTGGGCCTAATTATTTTGGCTAGTTTCATAGCCACATCTTTGATTTTTGCTCCAGGGAGACAGCATACCTCCCTGAATTGTATGTTTGGTCTGCAGATGGATGATTCTGTTCCTTTGAGGATAGAATCTCCTCTTACAAACACTCTCCTTTCTTTTTTTGAGGGGTGCTACAATCTGGGGTGCTTTTTTGGTTGTCTCAGGTGTGTTTGTTGATGTGGCTTTTGGGGGGATGTTTGGAATGAGATTTTTAAAATTATTTCAAATATACCTTTTTAGGGATATTTGAAGTTGTCTTTTTGTTAGGTGTCTGCATGTCTTCTTTGAAGGGGGGTTGTGGGTGTGCGTGTTTCCATCTAAGGGGAGGAATCAATTGGTCAGTTCTAGTGGAGCTGTTTCTGGTTGAGTAGGATTGGGCACAAGGGGTTTATTTGTTGCATACTGTTTTTTTCATTGGGAGTTGTGTTTCCTTCTGTGACATACCTCCATTTGTCTTCCTCCAAGGATTTGTCAGTGGGATCAAGTCCTATGGGAGTTATTTCTTCATTATTAGGCTCTGTTTGGGTGGAGCTGTCTTTGTGGTTTGGGTGGAGCTGTCTTTCCTATGTTGGGGTTTGGCAAGAGTTGCCTCTAAGTTCCTGACCTTTTCTAGTAGAAGTTCACATAATTTGCATCTGATGCAGTTGTAGTTGGGGTGTTCTTTTAGCATCAGTACATGGAGCATGTATTGCATACCACGATAGCCTCAGATGCCTGTTCCATGAGTTTGGTGTTTGATAGGCTCTGTCGTGCTGCCTTGCTGCCTTTGGTCCACCATTGCCTCTCCACCACCACCTGCAGGCCTCCCGATTTGCCACTGTTGCCTCGCCTCCACCTGCAGGCCTCCTGGTCCACAAGAAGGACTCCGCTGCCTGTGAGCCTCCGGTTTGCCGTTGCTGTCTCTCCGCCACCTGTAGGGCTCCTGGCTCACTGTTGCTGCTTCTCTGCCACCTGCGGGCCTACGGCTCGCCTATGCTGTCTCTCCGCCTGTATGCCTTCAGGCACACCACTGCTGCTTCTCTGCCACCTGCGGGTCTCCCGGGTTGCTTCTCTGCTGCCTGCGGGCCTCCTGGGTTGCCTTTGCTGTCTCTCCACCACCTGTAGACCTCCTGGGTTGCCGCTACCGCCGCCCACCACTTACAGGCCTCTCGGTTCACCTCTGCTGCTTCTCAGCCACCTGTGGGCCTCCTGGGTTGCCGCTGCCGCCGCCCGTCATCTCTATGCTGCCCCCAGCAGCCTCACCGGTAGCTTGCATTGCCTCCGGCCGCCTCCTTTTCACTTTCCCCAGCTGTCTCACCGGTCCTGTGCTTCACTGGGCCTTTCAGTTAGGCCTCCATTGGTCTAGAGGTTTTCCGGTGTCCTCTTTATTATCCTGCATGGCCGCTCTGTCGGATGGGGGGGGGCGCTCCGGTTCCAGTTCGCTATTCTCTCTCTCTCTCTCTCTTTTCCTTCCCTGCATTGAGCTGCTTAGCTGTGCTCCGGAGCTGGCTCTCATTCTCTGCTGCCAGCTGCCTCCACACGTAGCCATTCGTTTGCTGTGCTCCTATTTGCTGGTGTTTTCCTCTTTGCTCTAATTTCTTCTTTTCCTTTGTCCTTTCTATCTTCCTTATCTAGCTTTCTGGTTCTTTTTCCTCCCTTTTCTTCAGTCTCTCCTAGTACTTTCTTACTTAGTTGGTTGCTTCTCTCTCTTGATCTAATGCTGCTTCCTACGCTGCCGCCATCTTGAAATCAAAAATTTTGAATTCAGAATATTCTAAACAAAAATCTGCATTTTATTTAACAAGAATTTGACAGTATTTTTAACTAAAACAAAAATTCAGTCATGCTTTTTCACAATTTTGATCCATTGTACCCTAGTGATAGTTTTGTTTTTGTTTTTTGCTTCAAATTGCTCCAAGTCAAAACTATTATGTTCAGTCATTCTCTGAACAAGGGATCTCTGGCTGAGGAAAAAGGTCTAAGAAAGGACCAGTGCTATCTCAAACTATTTTTCCAATTGACAGATGTGAGCTTTACCAGCTTCGATATGGTACTATTCATTGGAATAATATCCCTTAATTTGGGTATAAAAGAAGAAAGCAAAAGCTACCTAAACTCATTGATATCTAAGAGCATTTCAGGAATCTTCCTGATTCTTGAAACTTTTGGACAAGAAGATTTTGTTCCAACTATTAATGTACTTATATTTACTGTGTTGTGAAATAAAAGGGACATTTAGGATACTGACCTACAAATGTAGAAGTTCATAAGATTGTTGTTATTAAGCCAATTTTAAAAACCCTTCATTTGGCTATATTTTTATTATTTTAGGATGAAAGAATGAAATCAAATCAAATTTTTCCTATTATCCTTTCGAAGATTTTATACTGTGTATTAGCTTAGTTATCTTTTACTTGTTGTGCAGTTAATATGATCAGTTTCATGCCTTCCCAAAATTCAGTATGATTCTCACTTTTTTGCTGCTTGAATTCTAACTCAAAAGTTTTGCTACTCTCTGTAAAGAGTGCAGTTGGCAGAAGTGTTTTGAAACAGCAGTGTTATTGTTATTCTTAAAAAGATTTCAAAGCAATCATTATTACACCTGTAAAATTCAGATGAACTGAACATCTAACTGAATATTAAATGGCACTGTTAGTAATTTGTGAGATTGAGGAATTACAATGTCTGTTTATTTTTCTCACCAACTGATGTCATCTCCACCCACTCCCAAAATTGTGGTTATTTTTGCTTTCAAGCTCTGAAACCTCATCTGAGCTTGCATAGAAAAGTCTTTACATTTTTATATAGATCGGTTATTAGAAACAAAGGTGCATTTAGCCGTTTGAAATAATTCTCCAGTTCCAAAACAGTTTGAGCTGTTGGGGGGAATTTTATATGGGTCAAATTCAACCTCCACCCTGATTTTGCAATGGTATCCTATACTCTAGCATTACTGAAATCTACTTTTTCAAAATCTGAGTTAAAAGTTTGTGCTTAAATTTGGCTCCCTTAAAATCAAGAATTTTAGCATTACATGGTCTCTTTCCCCCAGAGTTACTGTTATTTCACCTCCTCATGTCTTCCCTATTGATTAGTATCAAATCAAGGATAGCTGATCTTCTTCAGTCCTTTATCTTTATATATCAGAAATGTTCTGAAAAGATCCTGTTTGGCAAAGACGGAATCTTAACAATTGTTAGTGTTTAAATTACTATACCTTCATGCCTCTTGAAATACTTTTTGGAAAGCATCTACATTGCCTCTTTAATTGGAGGCGCCACAATGCTGCTTTTATTTGGTCCTAAAGTAACTTTAATGCTAATGCTCTCTGCAGCATTGCCTAGTTAATTAATTTTGGTTTTCTGAGCAGGAGTAAACAGTTTTAAGCCATAGTGTAATTTTCTCCTTTCTCTTGCTTCTATATCTTTTAACTGTTATATTCAAGCATTGGAATCATATCCATTATACTTATTTGCCATTCTGTACTTAGATATTAAGTGTATCTTATTCCCAAACTCTGAAGAGCATTATGTAGACAATGAAGACTATGTACTTAATGAACCAATGTATTTTCTGGTTGGTTTGTTTGCTTTTGAGTGGTTTAAGAAGCTCCATTTCAGCAACCATCTCATTTTCTATAGTACACAAGTGAATCTTACTATCACGCATTGAGTTTGATCCTCTATTTGTCTGTCCTCCTTCAGGATGGTTATTTCCACTATCCAGCTTTAAGCTTATCAACAGCAAAGGTCACTTGCTGCTTTATGCTTTAACACTTTCTTCAAAAACTGCTATAATTTAGCATTTGCTGCAAATATATGTCAGGTTTTCAGGCAAGAAAACGAACATTATGATTGCAGATTCTGCTCCATTCATCTTCACCTTTTCTTTTTAGAGCACCAAAGAAGGCTTTTCTTCATTCTTGTTTATTTCACAAGTTTTTATCTTAGCCAAAATCAACTATTGATATAAGGGGGGAAATTGTTAAAGAACCTCCCCTTCAACTCCCCTGCCAAAATTCTGTTATTTCAAACTCTGTGAAGTTCCTCCTTGAAAGCAAACTGCTTTATATTTTACAAGTTCTGCATGGTCAGCAGAAAGCAATCAGCCCTTCATTCTCAGTGGGCTATCAGCAGCTCCCCAGACAGACACATTGTAATAAGAAGCTTTTCGAGATATTATTTTTCACGGCTCAGTGCACAGTCCATCAGAACATACAGCTCCTCTGATCAAGCTTCTCTTTTCCTCTGGGCAATGTTATGAGAATTGTCATAGTGGTGGCCTGAAAGGACTGCAATAAACAGTGATAATGCCTTTACACAGAAGAGGACACACTTAGGATCAAAGAACCTCTAAGCTCTAAAACATTGGGAAGATGCCAATGCATGAAATGCCGGCACAAATTACCATTTGGAGAATCAGGTACAGATGTCTCTTTCAGCTTTGGTAAAAACTCTAGAAAGGTGAACCTGACTGCATAGGACATAAATAGGTTTACAATGTGATGCTTTCAGAAATATAACTAGCAAGATTAATTACCTCAATATGCTATGATCTTTGAAATAAGTAGGCATCAAGCAGCCTCCTCTATTATATATGTACAACCAACACAAGAACCTAAGTACACATCTAAATTACAATTGACAGGTAAGGGTAAGGGAAAATCTCAATTTCAGGTCTTTTAGGCCTGAATTGCTGTTAAGTATTAAGACTAAACACCCTTAACAATATTTCTACAATCTTAATGGGCTATAACTCATAGCACTGACTTTATCAGAATTGTAATGTTAACAAGGTAGTATCCTGTAGCTTTTAATTAGTCCAAGATATTGGTAGATCTCCAGGTTGGAGGGCCTGCTACTGCAAGTCCATGCTGCAATTTGCATTCTACCACTCCCAGCTGCTACAACAATTTGCATTCTACCACTCCCAGCTGCTACAACATAACACAGGGCAGATTATCCACATAAATTCATGGTATAGTACATTGTAGAGTAAATGTGCACTTTAGAAAGACATTCCTATTACTGCAGAAGGCAAATTGTAAAAAAAAAACATGAATAGAGAAGGATTCTGGCTAAATCCTCTGTTTCCCCAGTGATCCAAACAAAAATAGCACCTCTTGATAGCAAGTGTAACATTGGGCCTGTTTCTGACAACTATTTAATACTGCTCCATTTCCAGCAAAATTATTTATTTGTTATTAAGTATTAAAGTGAACAAAAGAAAAAATATATAACCTGTATAATAGTGTATTTGTGCAATGAGGTATTACACCAGCATGGCCATTGTAAATCAACATTTCATTTTGCAGGGAACTATTTAAGGCAGTTCTCTCTTTATTTTGGGCTTTTCTTCCTTGGTTCCTATTGGGAACAAATTAATCTGCCATGTGAAACTCCATACATTGGATCTCCAAGAACTTCTATATGTTGATTCCAAGGTCTGAAATGTGAGTCAGCCATTGAATTATTTCTTTCACTAGCAAAGGCAGGTCTGCAGCACAGTAGGCTTATATTTAACTTCAGGGACAACATATTGATATATATAAATTCTTTTTGCCAAACTACTGTCCTAGAAAACTCATGCTGAGATGGATTTTTTTCTTGGAAATTCTGTTCATTTCACATCAAAGGTAACAAGATGGAGTAAGACACAGATGATCAGTGGATTATTTAATTTTATAGATTTTTATAAAAAAAATATCAAATACAAAACAAAAACAAAAAATAGCAGCAGCCTCGACTGTGAATAAAGCTATCCTTCTAAAAGGGGACATGATGTGCTGTGTTGCTAAAGGCAATCCTGTATTCTCGTACTGTAAAAATGAGCAATTCACTAAAATGATTTTTCCTCAATTGATATCTTCAATCAGTTCTATTGGAGGAATGCAATAAATCTTTGTCCTCAATGCTCTATTCACAGAAATATAGCTCCTAACTCATCTAATTTGAGATAATTAGCTAGTTTACTGCTATTGTAAGCAATTGGGAAAACCATCCAGTCAGTGGGTGAAAGCTGTCAATCAGTGACATCTATCTGTATATTTGCTAGGCCTTGGAACTGAATTTCAGAAACTCAGGTAGTATCATATGATGTGACTGAGGTGTGAAAGACACAGCTGTTGGGAGTACAGATTATATCTTGCCCCAAATACCAGAAAATTACCAATTTCTTATCATCAATCTTTAAAGTGTCTCTACCACTACGGGTTAAACTAGAGTAATGCTTAACAGGCACCAAGATGACCTTTGCATTTGTTCCTTAGTGGGCAGCCCCCAGTTTTTCCTAAAAGACCACTTTGGATGGCTACTGTATCCCCTCTAGAAGGAACTGGCAAGCAGCATTCATAGGAGAGAGGAAATTAAGCCTTCCTCTGGATTCCCTCTTCCCTCCCCCAACAATGTCTTGATCTCCATAGTGTTGGTGATAGAGGGAATCTTGTTTCTCATAACATCATTTCAAATGAAACACAAAAGTGAATAAAAGGGGTTGTGTTGCTGTGGAAATCACCATCCCATTCAATCTCACTTCACCCTCTGGAGAGAGTACCAATATAATTACACAAGTTCCTGAATGCTTCATCCATACATAACCAATAAATAAAGATATACCTCTTTAATTTTTTTTTTCTGAAAAACATATTTTTTTAAAAAAAGGAAATAAAAGTCTGATTTGTAAAGGGTGGTGGGAATTTTCCCAATTAAAAAAGTGTGCTGTGGCCAACGTCTGGTGCACATACTACAGTGACATGCTTGCATAATTCTAGAGGATCTACAGATCTTTCTGGGTTAGGGGTCAATGCTTCTCTGCCCTTAAACGATTTCTTCCTATGCCTCCTTCATATACACATTGATTTAAATACATATTAATGAAAACAAATCCAGGCAGTAGAACTTATTCCAGCTTACCCAACAGTGCAATCACATTTCAAACATCTGTTTCTATTTAAATGCAGATTATAAATCTCTGGGTGTCAAATAAGACATAATCTGATACTTTAAGAAAATTATCATTGACTGCAGAAGTAGGTAACTTCAAGCAGTTTTTCCTCTCTCTGCTAGAGTCCCCAACTGTACTTTGCTTGGATAAGGCAATTGTTGCAGAGACATAGCAATTCCTTATGAACCCAGATAGATGGTTGCAAATCATACAGAACTTTCTATATGGTGAACATCTCAGTATGTTCAGGTCCTTTAGCCCATTAAGCCATGTTAACTAAATAGTATTCCTGTGAGCTTTTAAAGTGTCATACTGGGGTTAATTTACCATTCAAACTTGCAGAGGGGCCAGAAAGAGATGAAATTACTCCATTATCTGTACAAATGTCATGATCATTCCCAGATGAAGAGGACCAAAATGAGGCAATTAAGGTTTCAGACTCAAGGGAAGCATGATACATTTTGGTATAGATTTTATACCAGGTTGACATTTTTATAGCATAATTCAAAACCTGTTTTTTTAAAACACACACACACACACACACACACACACACACACAAAACTATCCTATTGTAATTCTGCATCATGAAGTAAATTTTAAGTGTGCTAGACAGTGTCTGATCAAATATGCCTAGTGGTGAGGACAAGCCTATCAGTAGTGACCATTCAGAAAGTTTTCATAAAGTTGTGGATTTAAATAGTTAAAACATGGATTGGAAAAGTAGGTTGTGTATGTATGTATGTATGTATGTATGTATGTATGTATGTATGTATATATATAGTGATGTTATAGTAAAGATAGCTAAACTTCTAATTTCTGAGTGTTGATGACAAGTTTCCTTTATCAAATTATATATATGCATATATTTCATTTAAAAGAAATGTGGAAGCATACATTGAATACCCATGATGAGGCCATATATACAATAAGCAAAATCAAGCAGTAACACTTTCCTTGAATTGCATCTCTTCAGGCTATTATTCCCTGAAGACATACAATCTTTCTACCCCAAAGCACGAAATCGGCTAGAAGATTCTTAGTAAACAACACTGTACTTTATCCTTTCCTTTTCTGCACGAAGAGGAAGTACAAGTTCTATGTGAAAGGTAGATTACTCTTCAAACAGAATAACTGCAAAAAAGACCTAAAATAAGATGTGGAAGCTGATGGGAACCAAGAGAAAAGAATTACATTACACAGGGCTACAAAAGTGTGGGAATTCTGCTAATGGAATTATGCAAAAGAATGCTAAATGAAATTAAGAAGTGACAAAGGAAAACAAAAATCACATAAAGTAATGATTGCTGCAAAATTACAGATGAAAGATACTGTATAATGTGCAAGTGGAGAAAGAGAAAGAATAAATGGGCTAAAGGTCTAGATAAAATTGGATTATTGAAACATTTGCAATAAGATTTTTGAATTAATTATAATGAACACACAGCTAATGGGAAATAAACTCTTTTTTATAAGGCAAAAGAAAGATAAACAATGTCATGATTTCAAAAACTGGACACTAGAGGGGACTAAAGTTTTTGGGTAGAGGAAAGATTCACAAGCCTGAAAAATGTTGCAACATGTTATAACAAGAATAAAATATTGAAGAAGACTTTTGAAGAATGGAATCAGAAAATGGTAGCCACAGTTTCAACAATATAGTAATGATGTCAGCTTCCATGGATAAATTATTTGTTATTGAAGAAATGACAGAATAAAGTTTATCTGACACAATAGAGATGGCACCTCAAGTAGATTTAGAACTGACAGATCAAGAGAATGATCTAGAAAAGGATGTTTCACTGGATCTACAAAACACACTGGTTGAGGTTTTAAAATTTAAAAGGGAAATACAAATGACAAACCAAGAGAATGACTTGGGATGCGTGGATTTTGTTTTCCTACTTGACTTACAAAACAGGCTTGTTAAAACCTTAAACAACTCTGAGCAATGAGACAAAGAATAAATGAAGATAAAACAAATCCAGCAATATTTGAATGAACTAAAAATTAAGATTGCTTGAGGTAAAAGGAAGGAACATGAGATTCAAGAACATGGTTAACCCAAGATATGTTATTACTTCTAGTAACCCTTTATGTACATACTATTGAGATGAGGATTGAAAAAATGGTATTTTATGAATTTGGTTATAGATGAGAGATAGTATATGGCAAGGGTCTTCAAATTTGGCCCTTTTATGACTTGTGAACTTCAACTCCCAGAATTCCTCAGCCAGGCCCCTGGTATATGGGATGAAAAGATAAATATTTATAGCCTTAGAGTGGATTAAGGGTTATTACATTTCTTTATACTTGCGATGAAGGTTGGAAGACACTTCTTTATATATTTATTTTCTCTATATTATATTCTTTATTACTTTTCTTTTTCTGCACTTTTTACTTCTTTCTATTCTTTTTTCTGTCTTTTAGTTTGTATTAGAAATTATATAATCAAAATTCTTAATGAAATCACGTATATATTAAAATATAAATAGTGTTCAAAGAGGAAAAATGATAATAAGGCTATCATAAATATTCACTGTTGGGATATGGTAAAATTGTAAGCATAGGTGGTATAAATCTTAAAACATAGATGTAATTTGCCTACAGAATGGCTGGCTCATTTAATGGGAAGGGTTTGATAAATGGATGAATGTTGTTATCACTATTCTCCTTCGGGGAAAGATAGCAAGACCGAGTAAAATATTTACAATGGGATTTGTTAAATGTATTTGGGAAAATGTTTTGCAGAATTCTAATCCAGCTTTATGCCAGGCAAGTGGTGAGCAACCAGTTTTTAGCAGGTCACTAAGAAATGCATGAATATGAAACATAAATACATACAAAAGAAATACATTATACATTGATTTAGAGAAAGTGTGTAATGTGAATACATTAAATTATGGATGATCTGAATGAGTATAGAGTTGAAAGTTGATTGCTAAATTGGTAAGAAGAGTGATGAAAGAAAAGTATGTGTGAGAATAAACAGAGGTTGGTGTCTCATTCTTTTACTGTATTTATGGTTACCTGTACTGTATAAGAAATCTTTGAAGTGGATTGGTTGGCAACATTTTTGAAAGATTTGCAGCAAATTTTAGATGGGTAGGCTGACAGAGTTAATAACAGTATGGATTTTAAAATTGATGCATCAAAGATCAAGGAAGCTGTGTTTAGAGCATGTTTGTTACTCATATATAAATACTAAAACTAGAAAAAGTAAATAAGTTTATGTATCTCCCTACAATGTTTACAAAAGAATGGAAACTAGAGAAATTTTAAGAGATGAAAAGATAATGGCAAGTATTTGGTCTGTTGTGTGGAATGAATATTTGTAAAATGCAAAAATGGTTTTGTTTAATAGGATGCTTCTGCTTTCTTTATTATAAGGAGAGTTCAGAATGACAGAAGCAGCATCCCAGTTAAAGTCAGCAGAATAGAGCTGAACTGGGTTGCTTAAGAAGTGTCTGTGTATAAAACAAAAGGGAAAGTGTCAAGACTGAATGGATGTTGAATAAACAGTTATCAGTTCAATATAAAAGAAGTAGACTGAAACAATGTAGTTTTATAAAGAGAATAAATATTTAATTGCAAAATAATTATGAGGAAAGAGTGAATGAGTCAAAAGGAAGGGGAAGAAGGAGGAAGGTCAGATGGAGCAGATGAAGTCCTCCAAAGGAAACAAGTTGAAAGACCCATTTGTATAAAGCAGTGTATGACACAGAAGAAGTAAGGGTGATTTGGAAGGGTAGAAATGGAATGAAAAGCATAGTGACTGGTGTGGTTTGAAAATACATTAAGCTTTATGGTTTTTTTTTCCTTTTATCTTATGCCTTTCATTTCTTTAAGTTACTACTTGTAGTGCTGCTTAGGAAATAGGGGGATAGGTATGTGTGCCTAGTAAAAAAAAAAATCAGGCCTGGTTTCTTTGTGGTAGAAGTGCAGACAGATATGACTGACAGAGCGTTCTCATACATGACTTTAAGTCTGCAGTTGAGTGTTATATAATTTAGGGAAAAAAGCAATTTCTGCTTCATTTAGATATTTATAAGCTCCCCATTGGAATTCTGCTGGATTTCTGGAAATGTTCATTACATGATCCCACATTTCTAATGTAGTGTATTTCACAGCAGCATGGTTTAGTTTACTAAACAGCAAGTAAAAATATTATATAGATTTGTAATAAAATTATGTTTAAATATTTGCAGACAGATCACATTTCCCTCCCTGCTTAGCTAAATCAAGCTCTAGAGGGGCGCACACCAATAAAACATCAGAGCAAAGACACAGTTTAGGTGGCAAGCCATTGATGCGGCAAGGAAAGTAGCTTTCGGGCTTGGTTCAGATCCAGTTTGCCAGCAGAACTGACAAGACCCTATTGTATTTCAGTTCTGATGGAAAAGAAGTTGTCCAAAGGTGGTAAGGGTGTTTTGTTTTCTCGCTCTCCTCTCCACCCCTTTCTTCAAAAATTTCCTTCTCCTTTATGCACTTACACATCAAGTGCAGGATCTTTATGACCAGACTTCCCCTGAATCTTTTTCTTCAGCCTTTGCTGTTCTCCTATTTATGCTTTCCCTCAAGACTTTGTAATTTCCTCCAATTTGAACCTTGGCAGCACAATGTGTCCTGGTGGCAGCTGCAGGCGCTACTGATTTTCTTCTGCTGCTGGATCCCGGCAGGTGCATTCATCCTGATCACAGCCATTGGGAAACAGAACAACCTAAAGGATTGGAAGAGCAATGGCATTTAGGATAACAGAGGCTTAATTCAGGGAAGTATCTCTTCTACCCTTCACTCATATGGATCAGTAGTACAACTTAGAACTATTTATCAGCTATTTATTCTTCAAATTTTCCAAGACAATGTTATAGAGACCAGGAACCCAAGAGCAAAATAAAAAGTTCTAGCAGAACTGAAGCAGAATAAAACCAAATTGGTTTCCACCCACAACACTTAACTTAAGACAGTTTCATTTCTTTATTCAACAAGAGCAGGAACTAAATTCTAAGCTGCTTATAGGTTCTGCTCAATTCGAGAACCTAACAGACTATATTTGCTAAAAAAGCATGCTAGTTCTCTGTTATCCACTAAAGCAACTTCTTTTCCAGACTTCCACACTAACCTAAGAAACAGTTGAGGTGGATTTAAGAATTGCATTATGAGTTGCTTTAGTGATCATCAGATGCCATGTGCAAGGGGAAAATAATACCCTCTTCTTCTTTAGAAAAGCTTTCAAAATATGGATTTTGAAACAGGCCAGAAGCCATGCTAATTTGTGATCTTGTTTGACTGATGATGAGTGGTTGGAATTTTCTTTTTTGCATATTTCCTCAGGGCATTGGTATTTCTCTCTTTGCTGTATGTTTTGATTATGATTTTGAGTCTTCTTGATTTGGTGGCTCTTTAAATTTAATGAAGCATGCATAGACTTCCCATTCTACCAGCACTGATGAAATCTGTAACACACTTCATGAAGCACTTCTTGTTGAATGAGTTTTACCTGGGCACAATGATAAGTGTTCTTAGAAAAGATAATCTGTATATACCTGCCATTCCATTCATCTTCATCCGTAGTTTTATATAAAATGGGAACTCATTCAATGCAGTGTTTAAAAGAGCTGCACTTATGTTTAAATATTTGCAGACAGGAGTAGTTAAGGGAAAGCCAGAGACTGTGAGCTGGTCTCTTTGTGTGCCTCAATAGTTTCTTTCTGGAGAGTTCCCTGTCCTTGCTGTTTGTATGACTTGAAAAAGACATATGAATTCTGCTTATATTTTCCATACCAGCAATCAACTTCTTTGGGACCATCACTTGAGCAACCTTGAGAGTTTGAGACGATTTCTTTGACAAATGACACAAATGCCCTTTTTCTGGTACAATTGTGCCACACAAAATACATCATTTATAAAGAAATGATCTTTCTGTGGCTGTTTAAAAAAACCAAACTAATAAAAACATCCAGCTTCACTTTTGGTTAATTCATCTCCTATGTAAATCCAGTTATTTTAATGCAGCAGGTCAAGACGTTCAGCATATAATTTATACACAGAAATCCGGGACAAGACGCTACCTATAAATTTGCCATATGTATTTGTGGATAAGTCCATCCATGGATAAGCGAGCCAGTTTGTTGTACTGGTACAGGTGCTGGCCTTAGGCATGAAAGCCAGCTGGGTGACTTTGGGTCAGTCACACTCACTCAGCTCAACTCACTTGCCAGGGTTGTTGTTGTGGGGAAAATAGAAGGAAGAAGAAATATTATGTGTGTTCACCACTTTGAGTTAGTTATAAAATAATAAAATTTATTAGATAAAATCTAATAAATAAGTGAATAAATAATAATTGTTGATTTTTTTTAACCAAAATACCATGAAAAAATGTACCACCCGTAGATAAGCCGATCCACATTTTTCATGGTATTTTGGTTAAAAATTTCACACGTGAATGAGCTTGTCTATGTGTATATATGGGAAATGCAGGTACTTAAATGTGTGTGTGTGTGTTATATATTTTCTGGATAAGCTGAACTTTCTTTGGACATCTTTCGGCATTTAAAATTCTCGGCTTATCTGCAAATATGTAAGGTATATTCCATTTTCAGTTACCTTCTTTGAGGAGACTGTGGAGGAACAACAGTCACCCCCATCATACTGACAATAGGCTCGGTTGTTGATTGTGTCACACCAGCCATCGGCATGGAAAGGCTGTAAAGAAAGAGAAAAAAAGCATTCGGTGAATGAAGTGCAACAGGGAAAATCAATTAAGTCTGGCACTCACATGTTAGAAACAATATATGGAAACAGCTTTTTTTGTAAAACAAGAGAAGAGAAACAGACCATCAAAACAGCTATACCGATTCAATGACAAGAATTACTAAATATGTAGACATACTACTGATTTAGTTATCATGGTTGAAGAATGCAGATATATATATGACAGATGATTAAATGACCCCCAAGAAATGGTTCTCCTGCCACAAATTGATATGCATTCAGGACTATCCATTCAGAAGAAGTCAATTTAAATTAAGTGAAATCAAGTTCATGTATATTTTTGAGTTATATGAGGTTAATGAGAGAGATAATTTGTCAAAACAAATACTGGATATTTCCAACATGAAAGTGAAGCAACAAATTAACACGAATGCTTGAAAGACCTGGGATCATATCACATGTCATTCTTATTGGTAATGCTATTTGTAAATAAAAACTTGCTGTTATGTAATCAAGGAGGGATGTTTTAATACATTGTGCCTATAACAGTTTAAGATACATGGTCAATGAGGATGTTATGGCAATATCACCTCTCTACTGTATTCTTAGAGAATAACAGGTAAACAAGAAAACCAATATAACTAAGGAGAGATAACTTGACTCTCCCCACATTTTTTGCTGTATTCCACACAGTAGGGTTTGTTTACCTAGACAATGATTCATTTGCAAAGCCAGAAAATCATGACAATTAGAACATAGAATAATGTTGGAAGAGACCTTGGAAGGAGACCAGATACCATTTCAGGCAAACGGTTGTTCAGTCTCTTTTTGAAAGCTTCCAGTGATGGAGCACCCAAAACTTCTGAAGGCAAGCTATTCCATTGGATGATTGCTCTAACCATTAGGAATTTTCTTCTTAGTTCTAGGTTACATCTCTCCTTGGTTAGTTTCCTTCCATTGTTTCTTCTCTTGCCTTTTGGTGCTTTGGAAAATAGTTTGACCCCCTCAAATATTGGAACAGTGCTATTAGGTCCCCCCCCCCTAGTCCTTCTTTTCAATAAAGTAGACATACCCAATTCCTGTAACTGTTCTTCATATGTTTTAGTCTCCAGCCCCCTAATCATTTTGTTGCTCTTCTCTGCACAGAGTCTCAATTCTTTTTTGTATTGTGGTGACCAGAACTGGATGCAGTATTCCAAGTGTGGTCTTACTATGGCTTTGTAAAGTGGTACTATAACTTTATGTGATCTTAATTCTATCCTTCTATTAATGCAGCCTAAGGCTGCATTGGCTTTTTTGGCTGCTGCTGCACACTGTTGGTTCCTATTCAAGTGATTGTCCACCAGGACTCCAAGATCCCTCTCACAGTTACTGACATTAAGACAAGTTTCACCTAGTCTGTAATAGTAGTTGTAGTTCACAAATACAACTACTAACTGCCTATTGTAGTGAATGCTGGTTTAAAATGACTTCCAGATCAGCATCTAAAGAGAGGAAATCCTGGGATGAGGAAAGTATAATAGATGCCCAAATTTATCCCAGTATGAATATATTTTTCACCATTTGAAATGGTAGAGATAACAGCAATTAAGAGTTATATGATATGAAGAGTCATAGCAATATGACTCTTAATTGCTCTTATCTCAACCATTTCAAATGGCAAAAAATATATTGAAACTGAGATAAATTTGGGCATCTATTATAATTATAGGCAACCATGATAATTCATGTTAAAATGCTTATAAGAGGAAAAATGGAAGTTAAAAATAATGAGAAGAAAAATGAAAGAACAAAAACAATAAAATGGGACATAAAATATGTTGGAAATCATAGGTTCTTAACTACTGCTAAGTAATGCGAATTAAATGGTGGCTGGATCAGTTGGAATGGTAAGGAACTAGAATTCAGGTCCTTTGCATTCCACCATACTTGGAATTTCAGTTAGATTTCCCATCACTTAACCTAAAACAAGTCAGAATGGAAATTTGTGTGTGTGTGTGTGTGTGTGTGTGTGTGTTTGTGTGTAGGTCTTTCGTTATTCAGGTTTTCTCCCACGTCAAATTGGAAGTGTCTTGGCGATGTTTCGACGAAGTCCCATTCGTCATCTTTAGGCTGGTGTTTTCAGCTTCTTGCTTCTAGGAGCAATGTGTGATTGTAACTGTTTCTTCCTTTTAACTGCTAGTGGGGGTATGAACTGATTGGATGGGAGCTTGGCTGTGTTCTGATTGGTTAGGGGCTTGGCTGTGCTCTGATTTGATGGGTTGGCTGTGCTCTGATTGGATGGGGAAGTGTTCTGTTTGGGTGGGGGCTTTGTTGTGCTCAGGTTAGTCTGAGTTGCAGGGAGATTTGAGATGGTGAGCTGCATTGCTATTGTTTGGCTTCACATTCGTGGTCGTGCCTCATCTTCATGGTAGGTGTCAGTTTGCTTCATGTATGGATTGGAGGGGTTTAAAGTGGCTAATGATGCAGCTGTGATCTGGCTTCTGGTTTGTGGTCGTGCCTCATCATCGGTGTGGGTTTGGGTTTGCTTTTTGCGTGGATGTGTGGTGGTGACATCCTGTGTGGTTTTTGTGAGTGTGGGTCTGGTGTCATTCTTTGTGTTAGGGACTCGTTTGTCAATAAGGACGGTATCATCTCGCCCACACAGCATGAATAAACAAGATGATACCTCCTGCCTACCAGCCATTTGGAAACCCGTCCTTATTGACAAACGAGTCCCTAACACAAAGAATGATACCAGACCCACACTCACGAAAACCACACAGGATGTCACACCACACATCCACGCAAATAGCAAACCCAAACACACACCGATTATGAGGCACGACCACAAACCAGAAGCCAGACCACAGCTGCATCATTAGCCACTTTAAACCCCTCCAATCCATACATGAAGCAAACTGACACCCACCATGAAGATGAGGCACGTCCACGAATGCGAAGCCAAACAACAGCAATGCAGCTCACCATCTCAAAACCCCCTGCAACTCAGACTAACCTGAGCACAATAAAGCCCCCACCCAAACAGAACACTCCCCCATCCAATTAGAGCACAGCCAACCCCCATCCAATCAGAGCACAGCCAAGCCCCTAACCAATCAGAACACACCTCCACCCAATCAGAACACAGCCAAGCTTCCATCCAATCAGTTCATACCCCCACTAGCAGTTAAAAGGAAGAAACAGCTACGATCACACATTGCTCCTAGAAGCACAAAGCCGAAAACACCAGCCTGAAGATGACGCATGGGACTTCGTCGAAACGTCGCCAAGACACTTCCAATTTGACGCGGGAGAAAACAAGAATAACCAAAGACCTACATATATATGTTTGTGTGTGTGTGTGTATGTGTATGTATGTATGTATGTATGTGTATATATGTGTGTGTGTGTGTGTGTGTGTGTGTGTGTGTGTATTTACAGAAATAGTTTTTCGCAGTAGCAACTTGAGCCTGCAAAACGCTCCTAGATTGGGGCTGAAAGGCAAAAGTAATCATAACAGTAGACCGGGTACTCTCTATATATATTCCAGGAGAATAACTGTTGGCATTTTACAAAGCAGAAATACTTGACTACAGCTGTCTCGTATTTCTGAATTACTTTTCCCTTCTTTCTGTACAAGTTTTTGACTTACAATCACAACTGAGCCCCAAATTTTTGTTGCTAAGTGAGACATTTGTTAAGTGAGTTTTGTTCCATTTTATGACCTTTTTGCTGCAGTTGTTAAGTGAATCATTACAGTTGTTAAGTTAGTTACATGATTGTTAAGTGAAACCGGCTTCCCCATTGACTTTACTTGTCAGAAGATCACAAAAAGGGATCACATGACCCTGGAACACTGCAACGGTCATAAATATGAGTCAGTTGCCAAACATCTCAATTTCAATCACGTAACCATAGGGATGCTGCAATGGTTGTAAGTGTGAAAGATGGTTGTAAATCACTTTCTTCAGTGCCGTTGGAACTTTGAACAGTCACCACATGAACTATTGTAAATCAAAGACGATCTGTACTCACCAAATGCACACACAAATGCTCTCGAGCAATAGCATGATAAATTTTGCTGCAGTATACGAGAATTTGATTCTGAGCGCAAACAAGCAGGTATTGCAAATTATTTTCAATAAACAGTAACCTTTTACAAAGGTGTTTCTTTTCTCTATAGGAATTATAACACATTTTCTTCCAGTTACAGAGTTTCAATTCAGGTTTACAGAGTAAAAAAGAGGAAAGGAGGATCCTGTTCAAGTAGGAAATCATTCCCAGACTTTCATAGTTTGAATTCCATCCCCTGACAAGCGTTAAGAAGTTTCCATCAAAGTCTAGAAAGCATTTTTCTGTGTTTCCCAATTGAAGTCCAAATAAATAAACAGCCATTCCCACACATCAATGACAACAAAACAGCATTTTTGCAAAAATATAAATGAAACCCCATTTCTTTTCCAGGTTTTTAATGCCCCACAAATGATTTATATAATGTTTGTAAACAAGAAAACTATTACTTTTATGGACTTATTTGGAAGACAAGGTTAATTTACAACATGAAGAGATTAAATGAATCACAAATTTTCTATGGACTTATTACTACAACCTTAAAAGTATTATTCATGTAAGCTGTATCCAAAAACTCTTATGTGCATTTCAGTAATGTTATGTAGTTTTGGTATTGATACAGATCTACACTGATCTATTTTATTTTCCCTTTAATTTAGCAAATGGCCAATATAATAAACTGAATGAGCATAAGAACTCTATCTGGTTCAACATCCCAAATAGTTCTCTGTGGCAAGACATTCAAACATTGGATGGATTGATCCAAACTGATGAAGTAAAAAAATTCCACAAAGCAATTTTACCTACTGAATGTATCGTTGAGGTTGGGGTAAGCAACCATATACATTCAATAACAGGATTATTAGGATTGGATTTATGACTGGATCAGCATATACACTTTTCTGAGAATACTTAGAAGGCTACTTGGACAGATATTA